ATCACCAACCTGTCATGAAACTGGAAAGAGAGCAGATGAAAATACCACTGTCTAAGCCTAGAGGCTGGGTAAGATTCTGTGTCTGCCAAGCAGTAAAAATTTGTAACATTTTTTTTTTCCTTTTTTTCATCTTTTTTCGTGTCCGGCAATGGATCGCAACCCTCAGTGTCACACCCGTACCGGACCGGGACCGGCAATGGGATCGCAACCCTCGGCGTTGCCCCCGCTCCTTGCTCAGCCAGTGAGCGGGAACCGGTCTGTAAGTGGGATCCGAACCCTCGGCGGGAGCGCCGCTGCACTTCCAAGTGGCGCACTGTAGCAGTGTGCCACCGGGCCGGCCCCAAAAATTTGTAACATTTTAAGTAGCATCTTAAGCAAAAGACAGTATTAGCCTCTGCCAAAAAGCACGTCTAGCACAGTTCAGATGTCAGCCACGCGTCTGACTAGGCAGCTGATAGCAGTCCTGTCAGAAAATGCTTTTTAGTGGTTGGAAGGGAGAGTGTGCATCTAAAATAAACATTTTTGTGGAGCCTGGCCACTAATCTCAGAGGTCAGCAGTCTGCCAGCGTGGGATTTTTACACGAGAGCAATTTTCTTCCCAAGTTCAAATTCAACAGTAGAAACTAAATTGTGCTACAGTCCTCAGTCAATCGTCTGAAAAGCCAAAATTAAGGTTTTCCTATAGGGTTACCCTTCTTAGTGCTTTTAATTGTTGAAGCCCCTTAAAACTCAGCACCAAGTCTCTGGGAGATAGAACATGCCCTAAAAAATAAACAAAATAAAACAAAACCCCAGAAACCAGAAAACTGAGTGACTCTGCAGTGATATAAATGGAGAGCAGATGGGAGCCGACCCCAGGTGAATATTCCAGGTACCTCTGAAAAATGCCAGCACAGGAATCCCCGACAATTGGGAGAGGATAAATCAATGCAGCAGGATCCCTCCAGCTGGCACCTACCACTCCACCAAAACAGATACTCACTTCAAATATGACTCCATACAGAAAAAACACATTTGGGGAGGAAGCAATTCCAGATGAATGTTCTGCCTTAAGCCACAGGGACGACGGAAGCCCAGGATGATGGAGCCCTTCACATCCATGCATCTCCATGTATTGCCATGCACCCCAACCTCCACGAGCTCTTTAAAGAAGCACACCCATTGTAAGGTGCTTTCCCTCAATCTCCCTCATGACTCTAAAGCCAAATCCTCTAGGGCTGCTGTAACAAATTACCAGAAACTTGGTGGCTTAAAACAATAGAAATTCATTCTCTCATGGTCCAATATCAAGCTGTGGGCAGGGCCACACTCCCTCTGAAGGCTCTAGGGGAGGAGCCTTTTTTGCCTCTTACAGCATCTGGTGGCTCCAGGTGTCCCTTGGCTTGTGGCTGCGTCACTCCAATCTCTGCCTCTGTCTTCACATGCCCTTCTCCCTATGTCTCTGCCCCAAATCTCCCTCTGCCTTTCTCTTACAAGGACATCTGTCACTGAGTTCAGGATCCACCCTAAATCCAGGATGATCTCATCTCAAGATCCTTAATTTTTCTACATCTGCAAAGATTCCTTTTCTTTTTTCTTTTTTGGCATGTAAAACAGTGTTCATTATTTTTCTAAATAAAAATATACATAGTGAAATGATTACTATAGTCAAGCAAATTAACATATGCATCTCCTCACACAGTTACTTTCTGTTTTGTTTTGTTTTGTTTTGTTGGTGAGAGCACCTAAAATCTACTCTCTTGGAAAATTTCCAGTATACAGTATAGCATTCTTAACTATGATCCTTTTTCCAAATAAGGTCACATTCACAGGTCCAGGGTCTGGGACTTGGACATAGCTTTTTGTTGGGCCATTACTCAACACACTACAGTTTCCAACAAACTGTTGGAGAAGATGAGTTATTTAAATAAACACGGCTGTGAATATTTCACTATATTTGATCATTGAAAACTCTGAGACACTATTATGTCAGAGGCTGGTGTCCTCGGACAAGTTACTAAGCCTATCTGTGCATAAGTGTCCTTGTGTATGAAATGGGGACAACCCTGATCTGGCAAGTTGTTGTGCAGGTGGACAGGGAGTTCTTTTTTTTTTTTTTTTTTTTAGATGACCGGTAAGGGGATCTTAACCCTTGACTTGGTGTTGTCAGCACCATGCTCACCCAGTGAGCCAACCG